AGGCATCGTAGTGAAGGAACGTAAATTCTGTTTCTGGGAATTAAAATCGTCGAAGGTCAATGTACGTGATCCTGCTTTGATAAATGCGCCGGAAAAAATTTTGATGGACCCGAGACATGATACATTTGGACTAGACATATTTGGAATTTAATTTGGTAACGACTATTTTGATAAATAAGAACACAGAAGTTTTAATTGACGCTAGTAGAAATTTGGGGATGAGTGTGAGGTTGTCCGAGCTTTTCCTCAGTTCAAAAGGATGACGGCCCGCCAACCCCAAATCATTGAGGCCTTCGGCTGACGTGAACTTCCCCGCAATTCGCAGAGCGACCGAAGGGTTCAAATTCCAGAAACTCTCCAACTAAAATCCTTTTCATTAGGAACAAGTTGCCTCACGCGATACGTCTCATCAGCAGCAACAGACCTTCAAGGCTTCCTCCGCGACAAAACCCTCGTTTTAGTTATGAGGCTTTGTTTATCATTGCCAGCAAAGCGTTCCTTACGCAGGAATGGTGTTTTCTAGCAAGGGACGATGACATGAACTTGCACAGGATTCTGTCCTTTTTGCCCTCAGCGTTTTGATACTCCTAGGTTCAGAGAGAGGATTTTAACCTGGAGACGGAGAAAGACTCCGATCTCCAAAACGCCATTTTTATTGCTTTTTGGTCTTGGACTATGCATTAGGTCCAAAAAATAGTTTGCTTCAACATCTTAAGAGAGACTGGAACCAAGGACTGTATTCGGGTATGTGACCTTAGATTGTGTAATTTCCCCTCTGAAACGTAAAATTTTGCCTTGGCGTCGTTCTTTTATCGCGGTTGCGTTCCTGTCAACAGAAACCATTCTTCTTGTCAGGAGTCGAAAACAGTGTCGAGGCAAAAATCTCTGACCCTGGCGCCGTTGTTCTGTCTCGCTTAGTTTCGGAGTTAAAGAAAACGCCCTCGCCGGAAATCGAACTCAGGGCACTTTCACCAGAGTTCTGACCTTCCAGTGTTCTGTCGTTTGTCTTAAGGAATAATAACGCAATGTTTCTTCTTCACGACCTGCAAGCGAACGAGTAAAGAAATGTCACACATAGCCAGTAGACTCTGCGGTATTTACTAACTGGAAATACGACAGTTTCTCACAAATTCATCTTCTGGGTCCAGACAGTTTTCGGGCTTATGACCTTAGTCAGTCAAATCATTTCTCAGAAACAAACACAGAATTTGCTGTAGCGCCATTCTTCCCTAGTGCTTGCTGTCCGAACAACGTAAAATATCTTTCCCGGGATTCGAAGGAAGGAAACATATTCTTTGGCCCAGCGCCCGGGCCCCTCAAAAATCATCTTTCAAATTAATCAATGATACTGATACCGGACGTTATTTTTAAATAAGGGCAACTGGA